CTCCTCTGGACTTTGGAGTCCCAGACAGCAGCCCATCCTGTCTTTAAAATTTGCCACTGGGCTCATTGTTAAAAGAAATAACTTGCCTCGGCTACTGTGGAACAAGTATTCCCAGCATGTCATGCTAGCATCGGCTGTGGGCTACTGTAGAACTATTATTTTCAGCATGGCCTGACAGCAAATGCAAAACAATAGGCTTCTCCCAGCTACTGTGGAACTATTATTACCAACGTGCCCTGTCAGGATTTGCCGTCAACTACTATTAGATATTATACTGTTAACTACTGTGGAACTACTATTCCCAGCATGTGCTATTAGCATCTGCTGTCATCTACTGTGGAACTACTATTCCCAGCATGTGCTATTAGCATCTGCTGTCATCTTCTGTGGAGCTACCATTCCCAGCATGTCTTGCCAGCACCTGCTGTCATCTACTGTTGAACTACTATACCCAGCATGGTGTTAGCATCTGCTGTTGAACTACTATCCCCATCATGTTCTGTTAGTAACCACTGTCATCTACTGTGGAACTACCATCCCCTGCATTACCTCTTAGCATCTGCGGTCATCTACTGTGGAACTATTCTTTCCAGCATGTCCTGCTGTCATGTGGAACAGCTATCCTCTGCATGTCCTGTTAGCACCTGCTGTCATCTGCATGTCCTCTACTGTCCCCCGCATCTGCTGTCATCTACTATTGAACTACTATCCCCAGCATTTGGACTACTATTCACGTCCTGTCCTGTCATATAATGTAGAACAACTATTCCCAACATTCCCTGTTAGTATCTGCTGTCATTTACTGTGGAACTACTATACCTAGCATGTCTTGCCAGCACCTGCTGTCATCTACTGTTGAACTACTCTGCCCAACATGTCCTATTAGTTTCTGCTGTGGCACTTCTATTCCCAGCATGTCCTTTTAGCACCTGCCATCAGCTACTGTGGAACTACTATTCCCAGCATGTACTTTTAACATCTGCTGTCAAACTACTGTTCCTAGCATGCCTTGCCAGCACATGCTGTCATCAATTGTTGAACTACTATACCCAGCATGTCCTGTTAGCACCTGCTGTCATCTACTGTGGAACTACCCTCCCCAACATGTCCTATTAGCATCTGCTGTCATCTGCTATGTGACTACTATTCCCAGCACTTGCTGTCATGTACTGTGCAATCACTTTCCCCAGCATTTCTATTGAGCAACTGCTGTCACCTACTGAGGAACTACTATTCCAAGCATGCCCTGCCAGCACCTGCTGTCATCTACTGTTAAACCCTCCCTCCCATCATCTCCTGTTAGCCCCTGCTGCCATCTACTATGGAACTACTATTCCCAGCATGTCTTTCCAGCAGTTGCTGTCATCTACTGTTGAACTACTATGACCAGCGTGTTCTGTTAGCACCTGCTGCCATCCACTGTAAAACTACTCCCCCCAGCATGGCCAGCCAGCACCTGCTGTCACCCAGCACTGCCGCTCCCTCCCATCATGCCCTGTCCCTGGCTCAGCCGTGCCTAGGTGTAGAGGAGCCTGTGGTGGGCGGGGCCAGGGTAGGAGTGGACGGCATCAGCAGCACAATGAGCAGTGACAGGAGGTACACGGGGCGGGGCCGGACACAGACGTACTGAAAACACAGCCAGGTGGAGCGGAGGAGACTCGCCGATAAGGAACCGGCGGCCATAAACCCGGAGCAACAAGCTGCAGAGAGAGCGGAGTGAAGAGAGCGCTGCCCGGGAACCCTGTCCACTGGAGGAGAGAGCTGCCAGGAAACATGGAGACCTGAGAAACAGGAAAATGTGACAGCGAGGGAAGGGGAGGGGTATAGACGGAGAAGAGAGAGGAAGGAAGGGGAGGGAAGAGGAGCTTGTGGCAGGCTGGCTGTCGCTTCCAGTGCAGCACAGGCAAGACACAGGCGTCCTCCTATTCAAACACCCAGCCTGGCACATCTGTCCTCTCAACCTGGAGGAACCAGGGGCCACCCGCATGTCCCCTCCCAGACAGCAAGTCCCCTGCCATCGGATCCATGCTGCGAGCACAACTGTCACTGGACTGATCCCCCTCTGATTCATCCTCCTGGTTCCATTGCCTTTTTCCTGGTTTTAACATCCCTGACTGGCTGAGCGATTTCTCATCTGGAGAACACCACTGA